CCTGTCATTCATCATTTTTGGTTTAAAAAAAAGGAATTTTTGTGATAATCCGTCCAAAATAAACTTGGGTTTGATTATTCTTGCAATTTAGCCTTGCTCAAGCATTGAGATTTGCTCTTGGCTACTTATTTACCTTTTTTCTAGTTACATGTAGTAAAAATTTGCCTCAGAAAGTCAGAATTTTGTCTATGTGTAAGCTTAAGATTTAGTAATTGCTCAATGTCTGTGAGAAAGTTGAGGTTAAATTTGAGATGACACTTGAAGTTACTCTAACATTTTCCTAACATTTATTCTTTGATTTGATATTTAACTTTTATTTTCTAGTTTTGGTAATTTGATCTATGTGTTTCTTGTTTGCAGCAATACTTGCTAACACTATCTACAGGCCATAAGTGATTTTCAATTGCCAAAAGCAAATAAGAGAAAAAAAAGGCATAGAACAGAAATGGAGAAGAAACAGCTGAATTTCAATGCCCCACTCATATCAGTGAGGAGAATGTCTTCCATTGTTTCCCAGCCCGAAGACGTGGTTCGGAAGACGATAGGCAAGACATTGCCAAATCGTCCTCACGTCCCCAGAACCAAACGTGACGTCAACGGGTCGACTCGACCCAGTCGACCCGTTGCAGTCCCGTTTGTTTGGGAACAGACCCCGGGTCAGTTGAAACCCGGGAACCAAATGAAAATATATGCACAAGAAGAGCCTTCGGAAACCACCCCCAAGCTGCCCCCGGGCAGGACCACCCGAGACTCTATAAGATTCTATTCGGGCGAAAGGCCGCGCGGGCAGAACCTTTACCAAGCAGAGTCTCCTAATTGGAAGCATGACCATTCTGCCCTATTGGATACCTTAGTTGACAGCATGTATTCAAAAGGGGAATCCGAGCCCGAACTCGGGTGGAAGGATTCCCCTCCTGATTCCCCAGGGTTATTTTCGCCCCCGGAATCTTCGTCCTTCAGCTGCAGCTTGAGTGGAGTGAGTGGATATCAAGGTCCCGACGAAAAACCTTCCGGAACATTCTCTGTCGACTTGCAGACGCGAGACTTCATGATCGACCGGTTCTTACACGCAGCAAAGGCCGTGGTTTTGGACAACCCTCAATACGTCCTAAAAAAGGAACTCTCAATGAAGGAAGAAGAGCCAAAGGCTGTCCCAATAGAAAGAAAGCCTCCCAATATAGGACCATGTTATAGCCACTACACAGAGGATTATGGTAATGCAAGTGAAACTGAAGAAGATGAAAGCAATATGATTACTACTACAACTACTACTACAACCAAGAAACACAAGTCATGGGGGAAATCATGGAAGATTTCCCCATGGCTTTGTGTGAAGAACTCATTGTGGCTTTTGAATCCATTGCCGGGGATAAAAAGGAGAAGCCAAACGCCAGCTCGTGCTCCTCCACTGCCACCAGCCAAAGACATGAAGAGGTTTAGTAGGATTGCGCATAGCGGGCCCCTTCCCACTGCCCGGAATGCTTACAGCGGACCTCTTGACAAGGTACGGAATGTGATCTTTTATGCACTTGGGCCTTTTCGTAGAAGGGATGGACATTAGGAATGGTTATGGGTCGGGTGAAGCTTCGCCCTCATTCATCCAATCACTCTCGTTTTTGTTACTCGATTCATCGTCATCCGATACATGAAACATCACAATTACAAATAGCATTTCATTAAATTATCATCAAGAAAAACATAGTACTAGTAATAAAATGCTCTGTATCTATTTGTTTGACAACAATAGTACATTAAATTACTTGTCATTACTTTTTTTCCTGTGCAACGGAAGAATCCTTAATTTACTTTACATATACGGAGTAGCATATTGGTATAGATACTAAAAATTCAACACAAATATACGGATAGACGGGTGGACCGGGTTACGAGTGACCGCCTTATCCATCCATTATCCGAGGGTTTCATCCATTTTATCGGGATGGGTGGCTCGGATATACATCGGGTAAGGATGAGATTGTAACAGGGGAATCCGAAACCGGACCATATCCACCCTTGTTTTGTTGCATTACTCATTACACATAGTTAGACTATTAAAAACTATTCCTTGTTTGCCTTCCCCCACAAACTTGAGCTTGTGATTGAGTTGATTCTTTGACATGATAACACTGACATAATATGTGTGTGTGTGTGTGCAGCAAGTGTGTGATGCAGTGTACAATAAGAGATTCCATTCTGGGGAGCTGTATAAATCTGGTGTCGGCGGCGACAGGAGGATGTCAACCAGGGTGTCCTACTCTAGAGATTCGTCCCCAAACCGGCATACCAGAAGCGGCGCCATTTCCCCATACCGCAATGTGACTCCCCGCTCTCCTTTCAATGAGGGATCCAAGTTCTTGGGTGTGCCAAGGGAGGTTGCCACGCGGCGGAAGAGTGACGTGGAAGAGAAGACCGCGCGTTCGGTTGGTGTGGGTCCCGCTTGGGATCAATCGCCTTTGCCTCCGCCCTTGCCCAAGACTCCTTCGGAGTCGTGGCTATGGCGCGCGCTGCCTTCTGCTCCTTCGCAGAACAGAAGGCGAAGATCAAAGGGTGGTGATCATAAGAGTGCTGCTTCCAAGTGGGAGACCATTGTGAAATCTTCATACTCACATCATGATCATGCTCGCTATTCTGAGGTACCCTTTATTTTAATTTTTTTTAAATTAAGATTTATACTGGCATATGTCTTAATTGACCCAAACTTCATCCAATTAGTTTCTTGTTTTTTGTATATGTTTATTTACAGATAAGAGTAACACATTACTATATATCTGATTGTGTTTTTCTCTGTGTGATTGTTTTTTTTTGTGATAAACGTAACAGGAACTCGTTCAACGGAAAAGAGTTTAGAGGTTTATTGCTCTCTTCAAAAATACGAGCCCGGATTTGGCATCCCACAATGTGTGTCAGTGCCTGTCATGCGTTGTGATTGGTTTAGGAATCGACCAATCACATATGAGTGACAAATGCAGTGACACAGATTGTGGGACCCGAGATACTCATTTCGTCGTATATGCCACTGTATAGTCTCTCCCTATATATATATATATATATATATATATATATATATATATATATACATATATATATATATAAGTGATATCGAACATTCTCCATTTTGCCCCTGGAGTTTCTCCTCTTCATCCTTTTTTTTGTGAGGATACAACAGGAACATGGGGGTTTTATTGGGAGACTGCCCAACTATTCATTGTAATTTTTTTTTTGAGCTGAGAAGAAAAAGAAGAAGAAAAGAAGAAGCAGTTTTACTCACTGCAATTTGTACTGACATACATATATTTAATATGCTTTCCTTGTGTGCTTTGTGTGCATATATGCCTCTACTTATTTGAGAAGTTGCTATGAAAGTTAAAAATGTTCTGCCTCAAAAAGAGTCCCCTGTTTACAAGGTTTACTAATGTTATTTTCAATTCAATTTATTTGAAAATTATTAAGGAATAAAAAAAATAAATTTTATATATCTAAAAACAATATCAAAAGTTTACAAAATAAGAGGTGACAAGACTATTATTTTTCAAATGTGTCAAAAAAATGAGTCAAGAACGGGGTTAAAGTTTGTTCTTGTGAATAGTAAACATGTAACTTAAATTGGGACGAAAAGGGTACTTGAAATCTTAACAGTTTTTTCTTGAGAGGGAGTGTATTTTTTGGACCATGCTAGGTGATTATATTGATCGATAAGAATCTAAAAGTATCATAGAAATGTTTTTTAGCTTCAAACATTTCAAATTGCTTTAGTCTAAATAATCATTTTCAAAATCATACTCAAACAAACAACTGTACAAATTAAACACTCAATGAAATCCCTTTTATATTTAGATAATTTCTAAAGAATAAAATCACAAAATGAGACTCAATAACTATGCGTTTTTTCAAATTAGTTTCTCAGATAAACTAATTACCGAGATAGATTCGTTAATTGAAATTAATTTCTAGTTTAGTCTCCTGACTAACCGCCATGAAAATGGAGTCAAACGACATTAAAACTTATACTATTTTTTAAATGATTATTTGTAATCAATTTTTTTAAATTAGTCAATTTTTGAAATAAAATTTCATAAAAATGGTCTCATGACTTCGCTTAAACACCGTGGATCAATTAAAAGGGAAGAATCATGCTTTAGTTTTTCATATTAAATGAGTTTTTACATCGAAAATGGGCTAATTTGGAAAAACACCCAATTACATATGATTAATTTAAAAAATTAGTATAAGTTTTAATGCCGTTTTGATGACCGTTAGTCGGGTGGGGGGACTAAACTCGGCATTATTTTCAATTAGCGAGTATCATCTTGGTAAATAGTTTATCTTGGGGACTAATTCGCGAAAACACATAATTATTGAGTATCATTTTAAAAATTTACTCATTTCTAAATTTTCGTTCATTTTTTATTCAAAGAGGTGTGTAAAACTTTTTCGTTCATTTTTTGTTCAAAGAGGCCTGTAAAACCTTGTGATATACGCAGACAAACAATTTGAAACTCCTCCCTAACAAGTTGATGAGAAATTAGTTTGTCAAAATTCATTAACAATTGATCTAACACTGAAATCTAACACAAAATAAATACATATGCTCCCAATCTTAGGATTTGAACTTTCGGATTTTATTCCGTCCGTTCCATTTTATGTTGCATATTATTGTTTACGATATCTGGCTAAAGTTATTTTAAATGAATTTATATGAAATTTAGGGTAGAAATAAAAAAACGGAGTGAAATTTATATATTCAAAAAACTAAATCAAAAGTCTTTTCAGAAGAAGAAGTGACATTATAATATTATTTTATTAAATGAGTAACATAGTGAATAAAGTTTATTAAATGGTTAGAGCATAGGCAACGACGTGTAACCTACCATGCCTTGTTGATGCCTCGCTGCCACATCACCATATAACATTGTTGCCATGCTGGGTGGATAGAGTATGGCATCCTTCTCTGCGAGTCACAAGCACACTACTACAGATTTAGCATTTGACAGCGCCCTTATCCCAGCGGGTAACTTAAAATCGTTGTGTAAAGTGCATCCACAATCCCACGCTTAAATTCCAAAATTAATTGAGGAGATCGCATAGACTACAGTCCATCCCTTTTCCGCCCCAACCTCTCTCAGGTCCCCCGCAGACTCCATCAGATCGGCGAACTCAACCACCAAAATCTAGCCGTCGATTCTCACTGCAATATCACCGCCGACTTGCCCTCTTCTACTCTTTCCACACGAATCTCGTGGTCACGCCGACAGAAAATCAACCCGAACCCTAGGTATTTTCTTTCCCAGATTTACGTTTTCTTCAAATTTTTGTTTCTTATTGGGTTTCTCATATTGTATCCTGATCATTTGATTTTGTATTCTTAGGGAAAGAGCCAATTAGTTGTTTTTAGGTTTGGTGTTCTTTTCTTCCGATGCAGGGAGTAAATTTTTTTTATTTCAATTTTTGTTTATCCCCAAAATTATCATTAGTGATAGTTAATTGATATGATTTTATACAAGCTGCAAAAAAGTCTTTCTGAAATCCTTTGCCATTACAAGAACAATGAATCTATTATTATATCTAACAGTAATTTATTATTGGATTATTTAAAATGAAAATTTTAAAATTCCTTTTAAGATGGAGAAAAAGGTTGGATAAAAAATACTTAGTATATACAGCATAGGGTAAATTCTTTCCCTGCTATGTTGTTCTTTCTCTTAATAGTAAATTCACTTATGACACATAAAACACCTTAGAATATTCACAAACAAACCATCTCAAGCATTCATTTTTGTGCTTTCAACCCACTAGTGAGCAAAGTGCTATTATATTTCTTTTCTAAAAAAAATGTATCATACTACCCATTTCTTCTAGCTCGAGTACTTCATCATCAAACCTCCTTCATTCCAAGGATCTTGCTCAACTGCCTCTTAACTCAAGTGAAAACCTTTGGTTCCATGCCCAATAATATATCATCATAAGATATATGCATCTAGTTTGGACAGAGGGAGCATGTTTGTTTTGTGCCTTTTACTTACAAATTACTTCTTTTTATATCTTTTAAACTAAGGGATACTTTATCTTCTTACTGTATGTGCTCACTATTTCTAGCTGTAGAATCTAAAGTGAACTTAGGAACCCTTGCTAGCGACTCTGCTTGAACAGAAACCAAGGTACTAAATTTTTCTTTCTATCATTTTAATATTTTTACACACTGGAAACTCGATATTGAGAGCTGACTTTGAAGAACTGTCTTTCTTTGGTTCAAGATATTATTTAGGTCATTATGTTATGGAAATTTTGAAGATGCTTTGGTTGGGAAGCTGCTTGGATGGAGTCTACTAGATTGTTGTTTTGTTTTAAATTGTTATGTATTGTGTTAATTTGGTTTATAGGATGCTTTAGCAGCATCATATGTTTTTATTGTACAGGTTTTGGGATCGACCCCTTTTTCATTATATGAAAATAACTTTTATTTCGATTAACTTATAAGCTTTGTATGTTCTTATGGATATGGGGCAGCCTCACTACGGAAATGGGCCTGCTGTGGAGTACACGTTCTGCTTGGTGTGGGGAGTCCTGTGCAATCATCTACGACGAAAGGTTATTCCGTACAAAGCTACTGGACGATGCTGGACAGTGATGGAAGACCTGTTGCTGCTCACTGCTGCTCACATCCTGCGCAGGTATGGAAATGGGCTGCCTGACTTGTTATCTTGTGGAAATGGGGCCTTTGTGGTTTACTTATTTTGCTATGTTTTGGGGATCCGCTTTGCACTCATCCTCGTTGAAAGAACTTTGGAATAAGGTGTGGTTGTTTTGCATTATAGTGCTTGGTTGCTGCTACTGCTTGGCTACATTGTTATAAATTAATTGATGTATTATTTTGCTTCTTTTGGATATTAGTTTGAACATTTGTTAGTGTTGGTTTGTTAGTTCGAAATTGTAATTTTTTTTGATGTAATTAGTCTAGGCTTGAAACTGTCTCTTGTGCACGTAACCATTATTATGGTTAAGCATTTGACATTGATGTATTTGTTTGATTTGGGTAATAATAATTTACATGTTACCCGTTAAAGAAACGTTATAGCTCAAAAAAATGTGTGCGATTGCAATCTTGTAGTATGTAGTATCAAATATTATTATTTTTTAAAAATTTTTTTTTAGACAGTGGATATTTATCCGCTATGAGAAGCGGACTTTAGACAGCGGATAAATATCCGTTGTCTAAAATACTGACTTTAGACAGCGGATATTTATGCGCTGTCTAAAGTCTGGACTTTTCCCACCGGGGGCATATACAGCGGTTAAGAACCGCTGTGTAAAGCTTAATTTATCCGCTGGGAAAGGTGATATGTGTAGTAGTGGCATAGCGATCTTGCACCCATTTTATTTTTTTATTTTTTTATTTTTTCTTTTTAAAGAAAAAAAATTGTTAATTTTTTTTAGTAAGTAGTAATATTTTAAATTTTTTATGATAAATTAAATAAGTATAATAATTTTTAATAATTAAAATATGTCAAGAAATATAAACAAATAATAAAAATGACTTGTAATTCTAAGTTTGACACTCCACTCATTTGTCACACGCTGGTTAAACTACTTTTCATTGGTTGAAATATCCTACGTGAGTGTGTGGCATTCCATTCATTACTTGTCATTGCCCATGCTCTTATGTGCTATATCATTTTTGTAATTTTTTATGTCGATGTTATATTTTGTTTTACTCTTGAATAATGTTATAGTAAACAAAAGAGTAAATTCCATAATTGGTCTTTTATGACAGGGGGTTTCCCTATTTTGTCCTCTATTATCAAATATTACCCTAGTAGTCCTTCTTTTAAAGGTATCTTTCCACAAATAGTCCTTTTTGATCTTCTATCATGTTGGAGTTAATTTGAGGGCTAAAAGTGTAATTTAACAATGATAATATATCTTTTTTGTCATACACAATTCCAAAGGTTGTTCTGTTTGCGTCGTTTGTGAAATACATTTGCTTTCTACTACAACTATAGTCTACAAATGTGATCTTCCGTCGGAATCCTAGCCCACAATCATAGTCATTATTTTTGTGTTATCTGCTTAACCAATATCAGAACACGTCACTAGACATAATGTTGATGTCAAATTATACTTTTTGCCTTTAAATTAACACCCACCTGGCGGAAGATTAAAAAAAAGACCATTTGTGGAAATGCACCCTTAAAAAAGGATTACGAGAGTAATATCTGATAATAGATGACTAAATATGGAAACCCCCCTATTATAAAGGACCAATTATGGAATTTACTCTTATTATTATTATTATTATTATTATTATTATTATTATTATTATTATTATTATTATTATCATTACTCCACCCGTCCCCAAAAAACAATTGTATCACAACCAGCATGATCCGATTAAAAAACTAATTGTCTCAAATTCCTTTACCCAAAAAGGATGAGGCCCATCTACGAGGACCCTTCAGACTCATCTAGATGGTCATTGAGAACAGATAAATTAGACTTTAATCGCTGATTGGTGGCACGGAGTGGACCGTGCATCTGGTATTTGCAGAGGCTCTAAACTTAGCATAATTGCCTCCCAGTGCAATTACCACTAATATCTACTTTATCCTTAAAATTTATTTCTAAACTTCATGTGTTTTATGACATTGCACATACACCTACTCTAATTTTTTTGATCCATTTTTCCAACAAAAAAGAGGCATTGATACCTATTTTCCAAGCCATAGGATCGGAGGCACTGATACTCATTCCTTTTTTTCATTTATTTTTATATGTGAGGATGCATGTTTGATTCCTTTTTATTAAAACTGTTTTCTATAATGTTTTTAAAATTTAAAATTATTATTTTTTGAAAAAAATACAGAGTAATTGACATATATTGCATCTGAACGTCTTAAATTAAAATTTCTTATTTTAATTTTTTGAGATAAAAAAGAAAAACCTTTTTTGAATTTAATAAAATTTAAGATGAGGTATGCACAACTGGATTGGGTAATAAAACACTTGAATTGAACCATATTAAAAGATTGAATCCAATCAATTAGTTAATTCAACTCAAGAGCTTATATACCAATTATTCTACTCTTGGAATTTCGATGTGGGATAAAACTCTAACACTCCCCCTCAATCGGACAACCGGGCCAATTTGAATCTAACCGGTTGACCACTTGCAAATGGACTTTCTTCCCCTTGATTTTTTTGAACGCCAACACCTAAAGGACCACGAGCCGCTGGGTATGGACTTCCAGACGCGCAATCGTGTTAAACATGCCACAGGCCGTTCGGTACATACTCCAAACGGACAACTGGGCTAAAGACAAACGGGCCGCTAGGAATGAACGTCTAGACGGACACCTTGACAAACGAGATGGGCCAAAACATGCTTTGATACCATGATACAATTTAAGATGGGGTATGAACAACTGGATTGGGTAATAAGACATTTGAGTTGAACCACATTAAAAGATTGAATCCAATCGATTAGTTAATTCAACTCAAGAGCTTATATACCGATTATTTTACTATTGGACTTCAATTCCGAAGTGAAATAACACTCTGAAAGATATATATATATAAGGGAAATAAATAAAGGAAAGTTTTTATCAGATTATAAAATCAGGATCCAACTCCATAAAAGAATAAAGATTAAAGAAACCCTTTATCAAAATAAGAGCAAGAATGTTAAACTAATATAATTAAGGGTGAGGTTCCCATGACATTGGAATCCAATGTCATGGGATGACCCGGGGGCGCTTCGGTGTCCTGTTCGTAAAATTGACGGTTTCTACCCCCTAACCCCCCGGCAAATTCCCCCACCCCGCCCCGACGCGAACACACCCCCCTACCCCCGTCAATTGCACCCCACAAGTTGATTTTGATTTTGGAGTCAAATTTTGTCATGGGAACCTTGGTGTATAATTAATAAATTAAAGCAAAGGAGAATCTCCAATAATAAATATTCAATTACTTTCTATATAATTTTTACAAATAATAAATTATACTCCCTCCGTCCCTGAAAACCTTTATCTTTTCTTTTTTCATCTGTCCCTAAAAACACTTCTCTTTCTATTAAAAAGCCACTTTTACCCCTTACTTTTTCATACGCTACCTATCACATCATACTTTTTTACTAATAATCTATCCATCAAATCATACGTTTACCCATCACATCAAAGAACATTTTTGGAAATTCAATACCAAAATACACTCCTCTTAAATCCCTTTTCAAAATCAAAACTCCATGTTTTCCGGGACGGAGGGAGTAATATTTAAAGAAGTCAAGTAACTACTAATCTCTAGAATTTAGGCTCAATATCACATTAACTAGTAAATATTCCTAGACTTTAGCCTCACGAGTGATGCTTACATGGTTCTTAGGTCTATATTTAAAATATAGATCTTCTCACATTTTCATCGGTTTGCATGTGATATTTTCATTTTTATGCTACAAATGCACCAAAATTTATAAAATGAGCATGAACTTTAGGTTTGCGGAAGAATTTGTGTAGACTCACTATCACATTACCTAGCAATTATTTCTAGAATTTAGGTTCACTTACAAATTATTAACTACTCCCTCCGTCCCAAAAAGATCTTCCTGTTTTATTTTTTGCGCGTCTCATAAAACACTTCTATCCCGCCTCAAATGCAAAAACAACTTTCAAAAGAACTTCTACTTACAATAAATGAAAAATGTAGTAAATTTTAGGCATTTTAGATGTGTATAGAAGTGTTTTATAGGATGCGCAAAAAATGAAACATGAAGATCTTTTTGGGACGGAGGGAATACTTAATAACTAACATTTATAAAATAATATATTTAACCCGTTAAACAACTCACCCCAACTGATTCGATTACTAATATTAAAAATATAAAAACAACTGCATGTTTATAATGAAGTCTAAAAAATGGCAAAAGTTAAAAAAATTCGTGAATGTGGGTCATAAATTGGTTTTCTTTAACATAAAATTAAAGAAGTTTATTTGAAATTTATTCTGGAGTAAGTTTAAAAGGAGTGTAATTTTCTTTAATTTTGAGGACGTACGGATGGAATTCATACTAATCTTTATATAATTGATTGTTTACAACTCTGTATTTAATTTATATGTATCTACTCCTCCATCCCAAATTAATTGTGATAAAAATATATTTAATTATAATATAAGTTTAATATAATTGAGTTCATATTAAGATATAATTTTGATATATCAAATTTTTATAATTTTTATTTATTCAAAATTATACGCCCTCTATCCTAGTGTAATTGTACACCTTGACTTTTTGAGTCAAAGTATGAATGAGTTGTATCCATTTAAATCATTTTTATGTTAATATATATTACCCTTTTTATTTCAATGATGTTCAGAATTTGTCTAATTTGACTCAAAAAAGTCAAACTAGAAAAACAGACAAAAAAGTTAAATTATGACAAACAATTTTGGACTGGAAGTAGTAATTATTATATGGAGAAAAAAATATTACCCCGGAGTAATTAAATATATGGACTGCTTAATCATATAATAAGGGAAGGAGCAATGCATTTGCCAGCATGCAGTGGTACGTGCATGTAATCAAATCACATTGTTGAATGTACTCTTGATTTTGGAGCAAATTAATGTGAACGATATATATATGCTCAATCCAAAAGCCAAAGTACACATGACAAAAAAGAAAAAGGGGAAAAAAGATTGATTGATTGATCAATTTCATCAAAATAGATATATCAAATTTAATTAATTTTAATCAAATTAAAATTGTCTGATAAATTGATTGTAATAGATTATTATTGGGATAATTGTGAAAACATAAATATTTAAAAGATTATAATTGAATTTAAGATATGATGAGTTGATGCACTCACTAGTCACTACTCCCTAATGTCTATTCGGCAATTTGTTCTCACTTTTTTTGTTAAAAAATATACAAAAATAATTTATTGTATTTGTATTTCGACCTATTTAATTATCTCTTGTTTTTTATTTTACATTTTTCACTTTAATTTACTTTCATTTTACTCCATTCGTCCAAAAAGATTGCCTAATTATGCAAATGAAAAAGAATCAAAATTTCAAATTTTTTTAAATTTATTTTATTTAAAGATTGCTATAAAAATAAAAAATAATACTTACACATTTTAAAATTACGTAAAAAATTATAAAAAATAAATGGCGACAAAAATATTTTATTTCATCAAATAAACAATAAAAACACACAAGTTCCCGTGGTTTTGAATTGTGAACTTTGAGATTTTTTATAAACAGGGGGAGTATGCGGTGTTCATTGTTCATACTTCATATATGAATTACAGTCAGTTTGCGTTGTGCAATTAGCAAAAGATAAACGCGAGTTCAATAATTTATGAATGGATTGATTTACTAATAAAGCAGCAGGAGATTCTGAGTATCAATTATTTTATGCAATTTCTGTTTTTTTGTTATTTTTCCATCAAATTATTTGTATAATCTGATGTGATATCCATTATTATGAAGTGATAACTACCCAGAAAAACCCTTGCTATTAAGCATTCTTCCCTTTCATTTATTTTTCCCACTTCCTGTGAGAGAAATTTAATTTAATGTAGAAAATTTAACAAATACAAAAATAATAATTGTTATACTAATAATGATAAAGGCGTTGAGGTGTTGCATATCTTGCATTCTTCCCTGCGGGGCTCTCGACGTGATCAGAATAGTCCACGCCGACGGCAGGGTGGAGGAGATTTCCGGCGGCGGCGTCAAGGCGGCGGAGATCATGAGAATGCACCCCACCCACGTGCTCAAGAAGCCGTCTTCCCCCTCCCCGGACCACTATTTTAATGGAGGGGCGGCGGACGCGCGCCGCCCCAAAATCGTGGTGGTCCCGCCGGATGCCCTGCTCCGGCGCGGCAAGATTTACTTCCTCATTCCGGCGCCGGCGAAGCAGAGGAGGGGGAGGACGGGGTCGCCGTCGTGCCGGGCTTCCGCGAAAAACGGCTCCGTTTCGTCGCCGGGTAATTTTCAGTACTTCGGTGATGAGATCATGTCGCCGGAGAAGGTGCCGGCGGCTCCGAGAGACGGTCGGCGGGGGAGAGAGTCAGTGTGGAGGCCCAATCTGCAAAGAATTTGCGAGATTCCCAGTGAAGCCCATTATGTGCCCGGTACAACACAAGAATGAAATTAGAGATAACTTTCTTTTTCTTTTTTTTCTTTTTTTAGATTTTTCAATGTTTTGTTTAAAAAAAGGATTGAACTATAATCTCTCTGAGTTGGTATAATTGTGTCTGATACTTGCAGCAGTCTCATGCTTTACATGGTTGTTTCTCATTGCAGCCGCCAGACTTCGAACAATGTTTTGGTAACTAGATTGTGTTTTGATTTTTACAATCTCTTTTTGTAATTTGAGTTTCTAATTATATCTTCACACCATGCTCAGTTCAAGGAATTGAAATGAAAAACGAATGAAATAGTTTTCTCTCTTTTTCTCACCAAAATAGAGAAATTTTGTTTTTCCTTCTCCGTACGTTTTGTGTTCTCATTTTCTATTTCTTCTATTTTACTTTTTTTCTCTAACCAAACAAGAAAAACTTCTTTTCCATCTCATTTTCTTTTCTTGTTCATTTCAAAATCTTTGAACCAAACATAGTGTTAATGTCGAAGAAAAAAAAGAAAGCTAGTTATTTAAATTTTGCGTATGCCCTCCAAATTCCAAAAAGAAAATTATAGAACAATGTGGGTATCTGTGTTTGTCTGTGTTTGCTTGATGTATAAATGAGATACTCCATTTCAGTGTACCCCTAGCATGCCCCTTTATTCTCTCATAGGTAATCTTTCCTAATTTATTCGCATTATTCGACAATGAAGAAAATACTTAGCTTCCTTGGACAACACTAATAATATGAGTATGCACGTTTATTGGCATTTTTTGTTGTTCATTCATGTACAAATCTTGTAAAGAATGAAAAAAGCATGTATATAAGGTATATTCTCATTTCAACTTAACGAGATTTAGTCCAATAACTATGCCGAGCGACAAACTAAAAAAAGAATAAGAACATTATCAGTAAAATATGTAAAACTTTTGTAGGTTTGTATTAGCTCAATTCATCTTGAGTTACAATGGATGATTTACCCTCAATTTATAGTCTAATTCTACTGTATACAAGGCACGCAATTTCATGCGCTACATTATCGGCCGGTAATTGTCCGGCATGCATCAATCGTGGCGGAGAATCAATCATTAATTCCCCTGCAATCCCCCGATCTAGGGAATCATGTCTTCCCTTTGTACCGAGCTTAAACCATTGCTGTGGGCTAGCCTTCGATCCGTTACTTCATCCGATCCTTGGGCTTCAATCTCCCTTTGCGCTCTGATATATGGCTTTATTCATGTTGGGCCTCAAAATTGTATTTGGACCACCAAAGGTCTGTTCAGTTATTCGGCTATCCATCACAACTTTGATTTATTTTGTACATGGTTGTTATTCTTTCTTTTTTTGCATATTATGTTTCGTATAATAGCTCATTTCCTTGTAGAGTTTCTAATATCTTGGTTTATATATATTGATAATCTTGTACTCGCAAAACACTTCATCTTTCACTTTAATCTTTACCAAAACATTTCCCTACATTTGATATTTTTCGTTGCTAGAAAGATGCCTTCATGGTATCGAGAAATGAAGCCTAAACCAACATGACCCACCACACACTAGCCTAATTGAAGCATCTACGTTGACCTTAAGAAAATTGATGAGATGTTTTTCCCACTTCTCTTGTGATGTAGCCATAGAGCTTGACAACACGCATGTCCGCCAATCCTCAAAAGTCTTTTGAGCAGACGTCCATACTATATAGGGGGAGACCGCTTCACCTCTCTAGACTCTCGCTTTATGAGCCAATTACATCGTCCCAAGAATACAGAAGGCTAGAGAACAAATTGAGTATCGCCATTATCTATTTTGGGAAAGGTTGCACTCTAGGGGATACCAACCCAAAACCGATGCTCCCCAGAACTGCGTTCCGTGCATAGTTACATGTTACAAAGACGTGCAGTACACAACATGACAAAATGGCAACTCTCATTGACAACCACTCTCCTTTTTGTAAGGTTGTTTAAGCACGGAAGGATGTTATTTACTCCTCTCCAGATCATATTCCGCACCTTCGGCAAGGTTTTAACAATCCACACCTTCCACCAAGCCCTCTTTGCCGTATTATTTCCAACTGTGACATCCCATGTCAAATGTTTATACACACTCTTTGCTATACACGTTTCAGTTTTATCGAGTGCTTGAAAAAGTCTTTCAGTCTCAAACAAAATGAAAATGTAGTAATGGTGGGTGTGGAGTTCATCATTTGCGAATTATTTACAATATTGTGACATTTTAATTACTTGGTGATGACTGATGAGTCAAAAATGAAAATTCAAACTTTTTAACTTCCGTTAGTAGGGGTGGACACGGTACGGTTCCGGGACGGTTCCGGTTCCGGTACCGCCACCCCTTGGTACCGGTACCGGTACCGGTTCCGGTTCCGGTACCGGTTCCGGTACCGCCGGTTCCGGTACCGTTTCCGGTACCGTTTCCGGTACCGTTTCGGCCACCCCTAATTTTGTTTTTTTTTGCTTTTTTATTATATTTTTAAAATGTAAAATTGTAAATGTGTAATTGTTAAAGGAAATGATGAAATAAAAAAAATCTAAAAATGAAATTGATAAAGGAAAGAATGAAATAAAAATAAAAAAATAAAAAAAAACGGTAACGGTACCGGAACCGGAACCGGAACCGCCGGTGCCGGTACCGAAAAATGGGCACCGGAACCGGTACCGGATTGGGCGGTACCGGTACCGGTTCCCGGAACCGGTACCGGATTGGGCGGTACCGGTACCGGTTCCCGGAACCGGTACCGGATTGGGCGGTACCGGTACCGGTTCCCGGAACCGGTGGACAATACCGGCCGACGGTAACGGTACCGGAACCGGCGGTACCGTTTCCGGTACCGGTACCGTGTCCACCCCTATCCGTTAGAAATGATGTCACCTACGAAAAAAACTAATAGGGAGAAAAAAACAAAATGGGGACGGTGAGTATATTCACCGAATTAATCCTTCCGTTCACGGGTCACTTTCTCCAAACGAGAGGGGCACCTTCGTCTTTTCCCCTGCCTCTGTCTGTGTCTTCTCCCTTTGGATTGGAAATCTGCAATCATAGAGAAAGCTTCCCTGGAGAAAGAAGAATGGCTTGAAGAGTTGGCAACTCCTTCTTCTCCTTCTCCTTCTTCTTCTTCTTCTTCGGCTCCATTATCAATCCCTACTCTCTCTCTCTACACATTCGTTTGAAGGGTTTTCATTTCCCTGCTCGGAGCGATGCCGTTGGTGAGAGTCCGCGTGAGGAACGAGTACTCCCAGGGGGCGGCGGAGCTGTACGGGGAGGCGGACAAGGAGGATCCCAAGGCGGTTCTGGAAGGCGTCGCGGTGGCTGGACTGGTTGGCGTCTTGCGCCAGCTCGGTGATCTCGTCGAGTACGTTGCTCTTGCTACCTCTCCGTTTTGCTTGAAATTTTATTGAAATTTGGCTGAATTTCGACCTCTTTTTCTGGTTGAATTTGTTCCGGAATATGCTTAATTACTAAGTTGAGGTCTATTATTGAAGAGCTGAAGTGGTTTACTGCGTGTTGGAAGTGATTATTGCAATGTTATGTCAAATGGAAGTTATGGTGACTTCACGCAGTAGGTAGAGAATTGAAAGAACATGGAAATTTCCAAACTCTAAAGTGTTATTTCTATTCTTGTGCTTCCATGTTGGGATCTTCTTCCCAACCACTTTCTTCCCCTCACCACACTAATGGCAAAACCTAGTCATTTATGGTCATGTATAGTTTCTCCACATATGATTTTCTACTTTGCATTTACTACCCCAAAATTCCACCTGACCTCCAGGTGTTTGGAATTTGTAATTGAAAAATGGGTTTTACTTTGGATTTTAATCTTAAGCGTGTGTGATAAGAGTGATTTTCTGTAGAACCCCGGTGATGTAATGTCCTTACGAGTTTCATTTCCAGCACATTTGTTTTGAGAGGCATTCGGGCAAGTTATTTTTCTCTTTTATTTTATTAGTTTATATGTATTTTGGGTTGGTGTGAGGTGTGTGTTTGGGATGTCATTTACTGTCAATTGGGATAATTAACGTACACTATTGTTTTATTTGTGAGTGTATTGCTGGTCGGAGATGTCATGACCTATCCTAAAAGTAGATTTCATGTGCCTTCTCAAATTCTAGATTTGCAGCAGAGGTTTTTCATGGTTTACAGGAGCAAGTAACGATCACATCCTCTAGAAGCCGTAAACTGATAGCTCGTGCTCAGCGGATTGAAACTGCACTTCCTGCACTTGAGAAGTCAATACTAGCACAACGAAGCCATTTGCATTTGGCATATACAGCTGGTAGGCTCAACCCTTCTAATGTTTTACTTTTTGTTCACCTATCACTGTGCATTGAGATTTTCCCAAATAACGTGTTACGTTCAGATTTCACATATCGTTGTATACAAACAAACTTACAGTCCATAGCCCTTACTGTTTTTTTAGCAAACTATATTAGACTCAATGACTTAACGGATTTGCATGTCTTAGTAGTTTCTGAAATCATTTCCAAAATTGTTATTTATCCACATTTCCCATGCAAACTCATTAATCCACACCTACATACTTTCCTACACTACTGGTACAGTATAACACATTTTTATCCATCCCAACCCAACCATATTAAAGAGTGTGATCCATCCCAACCCAACCATATTGGACAGTGTGGGCAAAATGATTTAATTCTCTAAGCTATCATGTATCTTAAATTTTCACACATCTTCCAACAAGTAGAAAATAATCTTGAAATTCTGAATCTTGTTCGCTTATTCTGCTCCAAATTTGAGTTATTTGACTCTAGAAAGTTTTGACAACATGTACATTTTTCTGTCTCTTTTCCTTTCAAAATCCTTACAGAATGCAGTTGGTTTGCAGGTTCCAATTGGCATACTCGTTGCCATCGTGAAGAAAACCATTTCATATACAGTGACTTACCTAGATTCCTCATGGATTCCTATGAAGAATGTCGAGGGCCTCCACGCTTGCACCTATTAGACAAGTATGATAGAAGTTTATACTCCGCATAAGATATGAGTTTCCTTCTTTTGTTCTCAATACTCATTAGTCATTACTACTTTCTATTTATATGCTATATATTTTTCTTTCAGATTTGACCCAGGTGGTCCTGGGTCTTGCTTGAAAAGATATTCTGATCCAACTTTCTTTAAGAGAGCTTCAGCTGGATGTGACGAAGCATATCTTGGGAAAGTCCTAAAAGATAAGAAAGGCCGAAAAATTAAGGTACGCCTTGGTGTATTCTCAAGTAACCTTTTAACAGCTTAAGAATTTTAACATGTTAACGTAGCATGCATTAGAGATATTTGTGATATTCTAATGTTCTATTATTCTGTAGGAAGTTCTTAATGTTTTTATCGGGATCCCCTTTAGAGATGTGATTGTGGGATATGAACAATTTGATCCTCTCTATAATATATGAATCTTTAAAATAGTAGAATGAGCTAATAAATCCAAATAAATTTACATCAAGGAAAGTATCTCGTTATATTTGCTCAGTGACATCCCCATCCCTCAGACATATGAAATACTCCCTCAGTCTCTTTTTACTTGATTCATTCACTGTTCATGTGGTCAAACTTTATCCTCTTTCTTTTCCTATTTTCCTCACTAATAAAATAGTAGTCATGTCATCTCTTGTTTTGTAGAACTTTTGATATAGATTTTTTTAAATAGAAAAATGTTATTCAACTGATGTGAGGATAATTTTGATATAGATTTTATGTATATAATTTTTATTATTTACTTTTACACCAATCTTCATATAAACTAAATCGATAATAACTGTAGTCAAACATCGTGAACCAAAATGGGTTAAAAATAAACTGAGGGAGCATATATTAAATGCAGTTTATAATAAGAAATATCTGATTGTTTAGTCAACTTAATAAGAACAAGCAGATTTCTCTAGTTTAATGCCACTACACTTTATAACATGAATTAAACATGGATTTTTATTACTCGGGTAAGGAAATATTTATGCTTTCAAGGTCTTAATGTATGTTGACATTGATCAGAAAAAAAGATCGCGGCAGAAGAACAGAGAATTATCACATGGTGCATCATCATTCCCCAATTATAGTAGCAGGTATTTGATA